AGGAAAGGGGGGGGCGGAGGAAGGGAAGCAGAGCTGGCGTGGGGGGAGGTGCAGCGGCGCTGGCCAGGGGAGATCGGGAAGAGGAAGGCCACAAAGCTGGCTGGGAGGAAAGGGGGGGGCGGAGGAAGGGAAGCAGAGCTGGCGTGGGGGGAGGTGCAGCGGCGCTGGCCAGGGGAGATCGGGAAGAGGAAGGGCCAACGGGAAGCAGAGCTGGGAGGTGGTGCAGGGGGGCTGGCCAGAGAAGATCAGGAGGGGAAGTGGGGGAGAACCGGCCAGGAAGGAAGGGGGTATGAGCAAATGGGCCTGCGTGGAGTGGGACTGACCTGGGCACTTGCAGATCCCGGGGCACTGCCCGTCCTGCACAGACTCCTGGTGACGCAGGAGCAAGGAGGAGGCTTCCCCTGCTCCTCCTTACACTCAACCAACTGAGGGTTCCCGGTGGCAATCGCAGCCCCACCTCCCAGCTGGTCCCCCGCCCCCGCCAGGCTTCTGTCCAGTGCACAGCTGGAAAAATCAGACAATACTCGGACACTGCACGTGTCCAGTATTATCTGATTTTTTTTCCGGACAGAGTGCAAATACGGGACCGTCTGGTACAATATTGGACACGTGGCAACCCTAGGTAAAAGTGACTTGAAGATAGTTCTGATTAGACATGCACTTTCCAGGGCAAGGAATGTCTAAGAAATGTTAACATTTTGCTTAGCAGGAATTTTGATTATCTTAACCACAGATAAATGTGGTAAATATGTTTATTTCCCATCTTGGTGTGATTCACGCACCCTGTGTGATCCTGCATTGTGGGTCTAAGCCCTGATTTTTTTTCAAATAGTAATGAATGTAAGTAGTCCCACAGAGTCAGTGGAACTACTTACATCAGCAGAGCTGAATATTTAATAAGTGTTTGCAGAATTGGTGCCATGGTCTCCAACTACTTCTGTGGTGCAGTTTTCCTAGTAAAATGGCCAGTGACTTGCTTGACTAATTACTTTTGTTCTGTCCTAGATAGTATACTATAACATTTGCACTCCAAACAGCGTGGCTTCTTGCTAGGTTACAAGAACTAAAGAGCAAAAGTAATCAGAAACAAATTATAATTGTATTTTATTTAGGGACGTAAGTGACTATTGGACCATCAAGTAGTTGAGTAGGACCTCGGCTAGTTTCTCCCCTACCCCTGCTGCCTCTATCAGAGAAGCAGCAAGGGGAGGAGCAGGAGCTGTTTCTAGGGAGAACTGGCTTCAAAGCCAGTTTCTTCCCCGCTGCCCCTCACCAGCATAGTGTTCTCCAAGGGCAGGGGAGGCAGAGGGCAGCACGGAAACGGTACAAGCAGGGATTGAAACAGTCCTGCTTGCGCTGGTCCCAACTGCTGCTCCTCTCCCTTTGAAATGTACAAGAGCCACCTGCGGCTCTTTTACATTTCAAAGGAAGAGGCACAGGGGGGAACCCGTGCCAGCAGAGACTACTTCATCCCTGCTGTCTCGGGTTTCCACTGACTCTCTCCTTTTGAAATGTGCAAGAGCCACCCCGTGGCTCCTGTAGCTTTCAAAGAGAGAGGCGCAGAGGATACTGAACACCCCCTTATCAACTAATCAAGTAGTTGAGGGAAATTCCATCAACTACTCAAATCAGCTGATTAATCGAAATTTCACTTCCCTAGTTTTGTTGTCTTAAGTGCAAAATTGTAGTGCAACGAAGTAGGGGAATCTATGGGGCTTTTAAAATATTTTATCCCAAAGATGATCCTACCGTATAACACAGATATTGCTGTGTGTGGTTTTGTTGTTGTTGTTGTTTTTTAAGAGGGCTGGGATCAAATAGTGTCTGAACTGTAGTTAAATTCTGGATTACTATCTTTATAGAAATAACTATAGTGCATTGAATCTGTTCATTTTTCTTATAGCAGGATCTCTGATGACAACAGAACACTCGAAACAACAGTTTGTGTCCACTAAAGTTGTAACATCTCCTAGTACAAGTACTCCATATACTAGAGCAACAGGTAGAAATGTTTGTTCTTCTGTTATAGCTCCTAAATAAACATAGAGTCCATGGCCTAAAGGGATAATTGTGATTATCTAGTCTGATCTCCTGGATTACATAGGCCCTAGAATTTCCCAAAATAATGCATGCCAGATATCTTTTAGAAAAACATAGTCTTGCTCTAATTTCCCTGTAAACTGTGTGGCTGTGCCAGATGCCTATATAACAGTGCTCAAAGAGTCCATGCAGGGCAGGGACTTGTGTCAGCCGGGGAGTGTTGCTCTACCCTGACTCCAAATTAGCTTGCCATCCAACCTGCCAGGGCCAGTAGACCCTGGCCCAGACCGTGCCATGAGTTGATCAGACTTGGTCTGACGTAAGCTAGCCCCGATCTTGCTGGGACTAACAACCCGGCCCCTGCCAAGGTGGGAAGAGGGGTTGTTCTCTCAACCCATATGCTGCTGTGAGAAGAGAATCCTCTCTCTGCAGTAGTCCTGGAGCACCTTCCTTTACTCCAAACCTCTCCTGAACTTGGCCCTACTCCATATTCCTTAGCCTCCATATCCTTGCATCCCAACCCTCTGCTCCAGCTCTGAAACCTCATCCTCAACTCCATCCCAGAACCTGGACCTCCATCTGGAACCTTAGACCTTCGCAACCCAACCTTCTGTCCCCATGAATTTTGGTATGTGCACCAGTATGAAAGTCATGTCACTTTACCTCCATATTGGTGAATGTAACAAAATTGATTCCATATGAGTGAGGGTGGAAGAGGGAATGCTGCTGCAAAGTTCTTCCTTTGAAGCAGCTGATACTGCTGCTGGTAAAAGCAGGATGCCATGATATATAAGCTACTGATTTATGTTAGCTGTAAGTGGAGAGTACTTTACTATGAAATTATTAACGTTTGTGACTATATTGTAGCGTAGGCAGTGCTAAAACTCTTATTCATAACAAATCCTTTCACCCTTCAGAGACTACAGAGATTCCATCTTATGTGAGTAAGTGTCCCAGCAATGGGCTCTGCAGCAAATTGCCACCAGATTGTATGACTTGTACAACAAACGTCTCCTGTGTATATGGGAAGCCAGCAACTTTTGATTGCAAGGTCAAGCCACAAATTCATTGTGTTGTAAGTAATTAACCTATTTCTTTGTAATTGGAATTAAATCACTTGTTAATGGTACAGGCCTTGTCTATACTAACCCCCCTCCCATTGATCCACCTGAAGCATCTTCAGCTGTGCAAATACTTATTGCAAATACTTCCATGCTGTAAGGTTGGTGGCTGCTCTCCTTGGTAGAGTGCTGGAGTGGGCAGGAGAATGCTTAGAGATCAATTTGTTGCATCTAAGCAGACTCAATAAATCAACCACTAGTAGATTGATCATTGCAGTGTTGATTCACCACATAGTGGAGACAAGGCCACAGTGCAGTTTAATTATGTCTTGAAACTCATGTAGACTTTACAAAACAAATTTATAGGCATAAATGGTTACTTATCAAGTATGATTATTTCTTCCCAACTTCTCTAGTATCTGTTCTCACTAAATGCTGAATATAATATGTAGGTGTGTGAGAGGGTGATCCCTTGACATGGCCTCAGACGTGGCCGGGCCAAGCTCTCAGGGTTCCCTGTCTTGGTTCATTCTAGCCCTATCAGTGTGGTGTCCCCAGCATTGGGCAACCAATGGCCCTGCCGGGGCCCCTTTACCGGATGGCCACAGTGACAGCTCTCCACCCTTGCCCCAGCAGGGCTAACACCCAGGGTTCTCAGCCTGGTCCCTCGTATGGCTATTCAGTCTCGTGCTCTCGCTCTCGCTCTCACTCCCGGCTCCTGTACCGGCCGGTGCGTGACGGCGTCTCGCCTGTCATTTCCCTGCGGGGAGACCTGTGCCCACCCTCACTCATGGGTCTCAGCCCAGGGCCCTAAGGACAGGGTCAGCGCAGTCCCTGGCTGGCTGGCGGGGGATCCTTCCGTCAACTCGCCAGCCCACGGGCTTTAGCACAGCCCTGCCCTGGGCCACTGCCTACCCCTCCTGCTCCTCATGGCCATACTGGGGCTATGGGTCCGTCCTTGGACTTGTCTCCTCCCCCTGGTCTGCTCTTGAGTTGCGGTATGCTTTTCATCCTTCCTCCGTCTCCGACCCCACCCCTGCGCTGTGCAGGGTGCCGTCTGCGTGGGCGGCCCCGCCTTCTGCGTTGGGTGGGCTGCTACGTCCTCGTTCAACCCCGCCTCCTCCCAGCTGCGCTGCAACCGCCGAGCAGGCGGCACAACGGGTCTGGAGCATCTCCTGCCGTGTGTACCGGCTTGCGGCGGGTTCCAAGGCCCCCCGTCACAAGGTGGCAAATAAAACACCGTCATCTTGTCCTTTCTTTGCACAGCAGTGCAATCTGTTTTACATATTAACAAATACTTCAAATTCTTGATATACTGTTTAGGATTATTAAGACCAATAATACTATACTGTCCTTTATAGGATCAGAAAAACAATCAAGTAGAGAACTTCACAATCAACATGACTTGTCAGTTTTGCTGGCAGCTTGAACCTACTGATTATGTATGTACTAATTCTACAAACTGCATGACAGTCTCTTGTCCACGACAACGATATAACGCCACTTGTACAGTACACGATCATATTCATTGTCTAGGTAAGCGCTACGAATAAATGGTTTATAGAGGGTTCTATTGCGAAGAATTTGTGAATGTTCTTTGGTTCAGTTAGTGGATAAACATGGAATTTCAGTGTCTAGTTTTTGTTGAAATGTGCATTATTTCACTGTTTAGTTTCATTTTGTAGTCTGACTCTTAATACTTTTAAAATGATGTGATGCTTTAGAACCATTGTCTCAACAGCACCGTAGTCTTACATTGAGAGTGTTTTCAATTAATACTAATATAAGTGAAAAAAGTGTTGTTTGTTTTCTCCAGTGGAATTATTTGATCCAGCATCAACAGAATTTCCAATGAGGGGTTATTTGTGACATAAATTAAAAATATCCTGTCAGTTAACATTTGAAATAGCAAGAATTTTAATACAGGATGTAAATCAAGAAGCTTGGTAGCCTGTTGGCCAAACTAGTCAGGATCACGTGTCAGAGGCTCCAAGATCTACTGGTGGATCCTGATCTATTTGTTGGTGACCAGTGCTCTAAGCTGCACGGCAGCATAGCTTCATAGGTGATTAATCAGCTATGTCCAGTAAGAGACTCAGGGCTCTGCATGGAGCTGACTGGCTGGGCTGGGCTGATTAAACACTGTGAAGCTGTGCTGCAGCGGAGCTTAGAGGGAACACTGGTCTCCAATACAGTGAGTTCAGCTACTGACGCTATTTCACTGGACAATGTTTGTTGTAAAGAGTAATTTGACATATTTGCACCTCATATTTCAAATTCTTAGCCAATCTTTGGGCTTTGTTAATGGCATCAGGATTTGAATGCATTTCATTTGTTGTCTTAGGTAAGCGTGTCTTTCCTAAGATGCTTTACTGCAACTGGACTGGAGGCTATAAATGGTCTACAGCCTTGGCACTAAGGTAGACTTATGCAATACTTTAACTTCATGTTCAAATTGTATACCTTTCCTTAAATGAGTTTCTTTTCAATGATATAGTTCCTAACCTTAAATGAAAGTGAGTACAAAACCATTTAATATTTTCTGTGGCTTTTTGACCAAAAGTATGCTTATGCTTTAATATAAAATGCTCAATGTTGGCTGTTTCCCGTAATTGGGATTCAAAATTAAGTATGCATATATTAGATGGAAAAAGGTAGCATTCTTCCAAGCTTTGGCCATGGAGTAAGCTACATTTATGGGAATAACCAAAATGAGACTTGGAACATCTGTACAGTCTGTTGTGACCACGCAAGCAGTTCTGAATTTGGTTTTATCTTTGGAGCGTGATACCTTGCTGAACTTCATTAGATTCCTTGACTGGAAGAAAAAATGGTGGTGTTTCCCAAACAGCATCTGCTTATGGTGCCAAAAGGGAACTTTTGGTCATTGTAGAGTCAGGTAGTCAGTTCTTTTTGTCAAGGTTCAGATTTCTTAGTCAAGCTGTAATGAGTCCAGACGCTAGAGAAATTTTCATGCCATAGTAAGTAAATAAAAATATTCAAAGGCATTTGGTGATCTGGATTAGCCTGTGCTCTGCGTATTGGCTATCCCCGAAAAGAGTCTGCCAGTCTATGTATTCCACACTTTCTTATACACGCAGTTTAATGAGCAGTGAAAGAGCTAACAGTGTTGAGATGTTAATTATCATTGGGCAACTGAAATGAATGAGGCAGTTCACTCTTTAGAGCTGTTCCAGACTCATATAGATATCCCTACCTTGATTATATAACTGGTTCACAACAGGTATCAACAGGTATTAAAGAGAAATGAGATCTTGGAAAACAAGATGACAGTTCGGTATAGATGTGCTTGGATGCTACACAGTTAAACCAGGCTGTAACTTGATTCTTCACACATTAAGCCCCAAAGCATTGTACTCACTGTGTGGTGATTAGGATGTTGCCACAGGATCTCAGCGTATTTATACAACTTGACTGTGAAACAAGAATTAACCTTTTTTAAGGAAACAATTCAGTTTCCCTTAAAAGGTGAAAAACATGGGGGCTAATATGAGCGGCTCAGCCTGTACTACCTGATTTACCATAAGTTGTGTGAACAAAAAAAGTAATAAGTTTTGTTAAGACCAGTCTGACATGCTTTTTGGAGCTAGAACCGTTTCCTTCTCTGTCTGCAGCTAGTTTCCTGACTCGAGATATGTAAAAATGAGTGATATAAACAACTAGTCGACTATCTGATATGTAAAAGCTTATAGGATAGTTGACTAGTCACTCACCCCCCACCCCCTTGC